GAGGAGGAACCAGGAGACCTCGACTGGGGTACCTGACGTAGTACGGGGTGGACTCCTCGAAACGGACGTCACGGGAGTCAAAGAACCGGTGAGAGGGAGGGTGGTAAAAGGTGAAGTCAGAGGAGTCCTCAGGGAAACCAAGGAAGACACAAGGAACGGCGCGAGGCGAGAGCTTGTCCGCGGAGGTGTCGCGGACAAGAGCCAAGCACCCCCAGACACGAAACCTCGACGCGACACCAGGGGACCCTGTCCAAAGACTGGTCGGTGAAGCCTCCGGCCGAGAGACGCGTGGCCAGAGGTTCAGCTGGTGCGCGGCGTACCTGACTGCGTATGGCCACAGGAAATGGGGGGCACGGGCGTGAGTCAAGGAGGTGCGGGCAATCTCCATGACCAGGCCTATGCGACGCTCAGCAACCCCATTCTGCTGTGGGGACTCCGGAAGCGTCCAGGACTGACGAATGCCCTGTTCGCGACAGAATCCAGCGAGAATGCCGGAGCGAAACTCGCCCCCGCGGTCGGAGTGGAGACAGCTGACACGACGACCACGAGTGTCCTGGGTGGTAAGCAACCACCTGATCAGCGTAGAAGTCACCTCAGACTTCCTCGCCAGGGGGAACACTGTGGTATAGCGGGAGTAGTCGTCAACGACCACCAAAAAGAAACGCTCACGCTCAGGGCCAGGGCAAGGAGAGGGGCCCCAGACGTCCAAGTGCAGCGTCTCAAAAGGCTCGGTGGCCGGACGAAGGGAGGAGGAGTGAGGGGTGGCACGCAGCCTACCCTCGACGCAAGGACCGCACGGTGGTGCAAGGGACGGCGGCAGCGACGGCAAGACACGCGGGAGACCTAAGACCAGACGCTGACTAGACATAGCACGCAGACGTGGAAGAGAAGGGTGTCCCATCCGGTGGTGCCACAGAACGGTGGGGTGGGCAAGCGACCGACAGGAGCAAGACGCAGCGACTGGACTGGACGCGACAACCTGAGGGGACGGAACCACCTGGTGAGACGCAGGGAGGAGACTAGGGGGAGGGACAGGAACTGGGAGGAGTGGCTGCTGCGACGGCGGCCGCTGTGGCTGCGGCTGCTGCTGCTGCCGCTGCTGAGGCTGCTGCTGCTGCTGCTGCAGTCGCTGCTGAGCGCGCGGGCCAGTGTGAAGAGTGTAGAGACCGGAGCCCGGCTCAGCAGCAAAAGTGGCGAGAGGCTGGTAAGAGTCCCCGTCAACACACACCGCAGTCTCTCCAGAAGGCTCAAACCACACACCCACGTGCTGACTCACAAGGGGTCGCACGCCCACCAAGTTCCGGGAGAACGAGGGGACGTGAAACCCAGTGAGAGACCCAGAAGGAGCAGCCGGACACGGCAAGGTGGTAGTGTGACGCGCGGTGACTGGTCCCGAAGTGGGATCAGCCAGCGCCACAGAAACAGGCGCAGGAAGAGGCGTAAGTGTCGTGCTGTCACGAAAGAAGCAGTGAGAGGCTCCAGAGTCCAGCGTGAACGACAGCGAACCGTCCTCTGAGGTAGCCGCTGGACTAGAGTCTACACAAGAACCTACACTAGCAACAGGCAACTGAGCAAGGCTAGCACCTAAGCTAACAACACCAGAGTAAGCAGAGTCAGAAACACTAGAGTCAACAACAGCATACATAGCATGAGGAGCACCAATCAGATCAACTAACTGCTCAGCAGACATGCCCCACAGAGCGGAGCCGTAGCGCTGAACCAGAGGAAGCCAGTCAAGGGCAGGACCGCCAACCCCGTAGGCCAACCGGACCGTGTTAGTGAGCTGAGCAAAGCACTGACCAGGGGGGTGAAAGCGGCCACAAGGGTGGCCCCGACGAGGACCTGTCAGAACCTGATAGGTGCAGGGAGGGTAAGCAGCACCACGCTGGGGCTGACGCAGCCCCGACCCCGGAGCCAGCTGCTGACGCTGCTGCTGCTGAGGCTGCTGGGAGGAGAGGGGCTGCTGCTGCTGCTGAAGCCGCTGCTGACGCTGAGCCTGGTACCACGCCGCTGCTCCACCTAGCGGGGCCGGCAGTACAGGAGACGACTGACGAGCTCGGGTGTCGCCACCACCAGCAGGCGCAGTGGAGTCACCAGCCGCTGCACGAGAGGTCTCTCCAGACGCTGCACTCCCACCACCGCCAGTCGCAACAGCACCCCCACTACCTCCGCTACCTCCGCCTCCACCTCCACCAGAACCACCTTTCTTGCCCCCCTTGCCGCGGGACCGCGACGCAGTCGTAACAGCAGCTGCAGTCGCGTCAGTAGCGGCAGTGGCAAGAGAGGCAGTGAAGGTGGGTAACTGCGGGACTGTGCACCCGTGGAAGAGTGGGGGGGGCACAGCACCAGAGGCGGCAGCTACCGAGCGAAGGTTGCTCTCGACGTCCTTGAGCGCAGACTCAAGGACCTCAACTGTCAGCTCACTAGGGTGCTTCAGCAGGAGCGCGTCACGTACGGAGGCAAGGCGGTCAGGGAGGCTAGTGGCGATGAAATAGATAGTAATCGCCATGGGGGGAGGAAGCAGTGCAAGCTGTGCCTCAGTGCAAGCAGCGCGGTAACTAGCGTCGAGCGAGCGGAGGTGAGCGATCAAGTCAGCAGAGCGCTCAAACGAGGCGAGATCAGGAAACAGGAACGGGAGGAAAAGACGGCCAAGAGAGACAGTAGCGGGAGTAGAGTAGCGGGCCTTAATCGCAGTGAGGTACGCAGCAGCGGTGCGAACCTGAGTGAAGTGGACCTCCTCTGACTCAGGGAGGAGGCTGCTGAGTGCGATGCAGGCCGCAGCGTCACGCGACGTCCAAGCCGTCCTGTCAGCGCGCTGACGGGCAAAGCGAGCCGTAGCAGCATCGTCAGGGGCAGGACCTAAAGCGGCAGGCGAACGAGCAGGCGAGTAACAGCAGGAGGTAAGAGGCAAATTAGGGTTCAGGTGGGACTTAGTCGCAGCGGAAGAGCGGGCTAGAGCGACGGGCCAGGGCGTAGGGTCGACGGGACGGGGGAAAGGGCGGGCACGATGCGACGGGGCAGGGCGACGCGACGGGGGAGGGCGACGCGACGGGGTAGGGAGACGGGACGGGGCGACGGGACGGGGCAGGGCGACGGGACGGGACGGGGACGGGACGGGGCAGGGGCGACGGGACGGGACGGGGCGACGGGACGGGACGGGGCAGGGCCGCGGGACGGGACGGGACGGGACGGGACGGGGCAGGGCGACGGGACGGGACGGGGACGGGACGGGGCAGGGGCGACGGGACGGGACGGGGCGACGGGACGGGACGGGGCAGGGGCAACGGGACGGGGCAGGGCGACGTGACGGGGGGAAAGGGCGCGACGCGACGGTGGGAAAGGGCGCGACGCGACGGGGGGAAAGAGCGCGACGCGACGGGGGGAAAGGGCGCGACTCGACGGGGGGGAACGGGCGCGACGCAACGGGGGAAAAGGGCGCGACGTGACGGGGGGGAAAGGGCGCTAGGCGACGGGGGGAAGGGCGCTAGGCTCGGCACTAGGCGCGGTAACAACGGAACCGGTACGAACGAGAGGTAGGATCAGGCTCGGGAGATACGAACGGAGAACGGAGGAACGGGATCCCACAGGATCCTAACCGCTCTGATACCATGTCAGAATGAGGAATGGATGATGCATTGATGTTGGTTGGGGTACATATAGCTAACCCTAAGTTTTGTACCCCCTAAGACAATCCTCACTATAGGCTACAACATTTGACACAGTGGGGGTACCGTATCAGCTTGATCAAGATAGAGAGCTGATGAACAGCGGGCGCCCACACAAGCCTGTTAAACAGTAGCAGTACGCATACAGGGCCGTGATTAAAACCTAGACGCGGTATCCAATGCACTAGTGTGATCCACACCGTCCGTGCCTAGACCAGGGAATGCGTTGCACCGCTCATGCCAGCAGCAGCTGAGCTCACTAGTGCCGAACCGAACCTCTTGGATCGCCTCGCCTACACCACAAGCCAAAGACTTGGCGTACACAACACAGCACGATGCTTCACAAGTGAGTGTGAAACAGCACCTTCCATGTCTCCATGCAGCAAGCGTGCTACACGGATGTGCCAGTCACCACACAGGGCGCCTGCAACACGGCTGTGCCAGCCACCACACAGGGCGCCGGGCACGGCCCTCGGCAACAACTCGAGATCGTTAAACCAAGCCTCTACGGGAAGCAAGGGCAGCAGCAGCTGGAGCCATTGGCTGCACTTGAGCAGCCCGCACTTGTAAACAAGTGGCAAGCAACTGAGTGCCAACCCTCTCCCTTCTCTACCAGGTGCCCCGCGAACCAGCCGCCGCACGCAGCCTAGTGCTACAGGTACCTTCATCCTGCAGCCAAGGGGGTTGCTGCAGGAATGCACTGTAGCAGCTGGAATTCACCTCCTTGCTTTCACCCCGCGTTCCTGCAGTATCAGCAAGCATTCCTCTGGGAGCCAGTGGCTGGCTCACCACCCCACACTCACACCCTCTGCTATCTTCTGCCATGCCTTGCCCTTCGCCACTCTCCCTCCCCTCCACGCCCTTCATTGCCCCTCCCTCTATCTCTGTGTCTGTCTCCCTGCCAATGGCCGCAGCCTTCTTGCTCCCTTAGCAGCTCAACCACCCACGCCCATGCCAACAGCACATCCCCGCGCATGCCAACAGCACATCCGCGCGCATGCCAACAGCACGTTCCTGTTGTATCAGCAAGCATTCCTCTGGGAGAGCCACTGACCTGCTTACCACCCCATATACACCCTTGCCCTTCGCCACTCTCCCTCTCCTCCATGCCGTCCTTCACGCCTTTCAACTACCCATGCAGGGTGACATTCATGCCCTCTTGCCTCACTCCGTCTCATTCTCACAAAGAGCTAAACGCCATTTGCACATTCTCACCGCCCCATCCCCATGTCCCCCTACTGCCCCGCTCTCCTCCCAACACACCACACCCCCATCGTAGTCCCCCAATCTTCCTTCCTGCATCTTACTTCCCACCCTCACAAAACACTTAACTCCTCACCACCACCCGACCACCCCCACACCTCTCTTGGCCTTCTCCCGCTCAGCATCGCGCCCCATCTTCACATACAGCCGAACCATCTCGTCCATGCTCACCCCTATCTCCCCCTCCACCCGCTCCCTATGGCACACAATCACCCCCTCCTCCCGGCACCCCGCATCCCTTGGTCCTGCGTCATACTCTGGAATCGGCAGCAGCGGCGTCATGTCTATAAGCGTCTCCGCTATAAGCCCAGACTGGTTAACGAATATAGGCGTGCCACGCGGAATCACAATATCCTCGTCGAGAATCTCCACCACCACGTCCACGCTGGTTAGGCTCGGCCGGACCGCCACCACCGAGCCTACGGCGATGCCTCGCATGCGCACGGGCGTGCCCACGAGGATGCCGCACGCCTTGGGAAACCTCACCACCGCTGTGTACCGCGCTGGCGCCACTCCCCCTCGCCTGCCGCCCTGCACCTCGTAGTACTGACGCCTCTGAGGTGCTTTCTGCTGCTGCTGCTGCTGCTGCTGCTCTTGAATCCCTTGCTCTCTTTGCTGCGCCGATTCACCCAGCACTACTTCTCCGGCCTCAGCCCGAGCCTCCGCCGAACCTGGCTCCGAACCTGACTTGCCCGACTTGGTGTCTACCGCGACTGATGCTAGCCTACTCGGTTTGGGGTCAGCTGCGGTTATCACAGCAGCGTGGGCGGGAGGCGGGAGCAGAAGCGATTTGAGTGAGACACGTGGCAGCACGCCAGTGGAGCGCAGGGCAGCAGCGAGCCAAATGACCGTTGCTGTCGCCACCGCCGCGCCCGCCGCTTTTAACCGAGCCGACGGTGACAATGACGACAATGTCGCGAGAAGCAGTTGGGACATCCGCGGTTTATGCTCCTCCTGCGAGGAACCCAATAACGAGGACGGCTCGTCGCCGCTGTGCGGGTCGTTGTGCGCGCTGCAAGCTCGCCGCTGCAGTCGCGTTTCACGGCTCCCGCCACGAGTTTTCGCAGCGTCTACATCGCCAGGATCGCATAGGCGACGAGAGATTCGCGACGTACAATCCAAGCGGGATGGTCTGCGGCAACAGCGCGGGATCGACGAGCCGAAGAGCGTCGAGAACGAGGAAAGTTGAGAAGTTGCTCGTGGGGTGAAATGTTGTTGGCTAGGAGACGGCAACGCGGCGACGCCTGACGGCGAGGCTGAAGCGCAGGGCCAAGAAATGGTCGAGCGGCGGCTGTGGGGAGAGAATTGCTGTGGCGGAGACGAAAATGCAGGCGATGCTCTTACTGAGGGAGAACGAGGAGTTTGAGAGGAACTGATCGGCGGCGATAGTGTGGGAAAGGGAAGCGGGGAACGCGCTACAGGTACAACAGCCATAGTGTGAGTGCTGAGGAGTGGTGGTGTGGGAAGGGATGAAGATAAAACGACTGGATGGGAAGGGTGAGCAAGAAGTGCAAGAAATGGAAGCCGAGAAAGGCGGAGAACGCGGAGAATAGCTTGGTACACTAACAAATCGGGTATAAATACGGTACAGCAAGATTGTTATGACTGCGGGGGTACAAACGAGCTGAAATGCATTCAGGAGCTACAGAAGTTGTACTGAAGAGTCCTGAATGGAAGAATAACGAGGCTAGAAATAGGCAGACTCGACCTGGGCGAGGAAGTTGGGGTAAACGAGGCTCGGAGATGTGAAGAATGGTGTGGTGGCGCCTCGGGAGTGGTTCGGGGTGAAAGTGTAGGTCGAACCAATTAACGTGGGAACCTCGGAACGCCTTCGATAAGGTAATATACACTAATGAACAATTTACTCTAAACGAGGTTCGCGAAAATGATAAACTTCATACGAATTTGGTCGTTTCACTTTGGGAATTACCGGTAATCATGGCGCTGCTAGTTTATAGGTGTATGTGTGGCAAATTGATGATTAAAAAGAGAAGATGATTACATTATTTGAGTTCTTTTTTTTTCAAGGACGTAATACACCATAAAATGCATACATCCGCAGTCGTAACTGATTATGTTAGCTCCTCATTCAGCATGATATCAGGCCTCGTAACGCAACTTTCAATATCGAGATAACAGCAACCTCACCAGATTCACCGCATTTGGCGGAGGGAGTTGTTCTGCCTCCAGTAATCTTGGATCATCCTTCCATTGAGCCGAAAGCAGAGCAGCATTCTCCCCTCCCTCCATCTCCTACCTTCTCCGCCCACTCGCCCTTGGGAAACTCATTACCGTGCCATTCATGGATCTATTATTACGACAACGCCGCTTTCGACCGCAGTTCTCTCCATTCTTCTCGCCGATACACACGTGACGGCGATATTAGGGCAGCAGCAAGCACGCTCTTGCCTCCTTACTTGCGCGTGCAGCGAGCTAGCTGCATAGCAGCGAGCGCCGCCAGCTTTCACCCGAGCAGTTGCCTCCGTTCCGCTGCGACGCGTCGTCGCATCCATGGCAGAATTCGCCACCGTGCCGCCACGCGAGGCCAAGGCGCTCCTCGAGACGTCCCACACCTTCCTCGACGTCAGGTTGCTTCTCCCGCCCTTTCCGCCCTTCCCGCCCTTCCCGCCCTTTCCGCCCTTTCCGCCGTTTCCGGCTCCATCCGTTCCGCCGCGGCCACATCGTAGTAGTTCGCGGCGCGCCCTCCTCATCATCGCTGTCTGGGCGCTCTTCCCACCTTCCGCGATTTCTCTCGATTCCGTCATACCGATTTGTTAGCAATGGGTTGGCGATGAGCGACGCAGTTCTTTAATGTGCTAGTTACCAGTTACGCGGCGCGTGCCTTCTCGTTCAAAGGCTCCTTCGTCTGCCGCCCCTCCGCTCACTTAGCTTTATTTCTGCCATTTTGATTCCGAGTCTCGTTCGCACCGCTGCTTAGGTCGAAATTGCGCTTTCGTTCGCAAATCCCACACACCTGACGCCGGAAATTGCACTTTCGTTCTCAATCCATTTCTTACATCCCGCCGTTCCACTTTGGTGACATGGCAGGACGGAGGAGGAATTTGCCGAGAGCCACGCGGAAGGTGCTGTGAACGTCGCAGTGATGACTGGCGATCCCCATAAAGGTGATGCGGACGCTGCGTGCACCGTACATGCACACATGCACACATGCGTACATGCACACATGCACACATGCGTACATGCACACATGCACACATGCGTACATGCACACATGCAGACATGCGTACATGCACACATGCACACATGCGTACATGCACACATGCACACATGCGTACATGCACACATGCACACATGCGTACATGCACACATGCACACATGCACACATGCACACATGCGTACATGCACACATGCACAAATGCGGACATGCACACATGCATACGTACATACATGCATACGTGCATACATACACACTTACTCACATGCACACTTACTCACATGCACACTTGCTCACATGCACACTTGCTCACATGCACACTTGCTCACATGCACACTTGCTTGAATGCACACTTGCTCACATGCACACTTGCATACGTGTACACATGCGTTGCGTACATGCACCCATGCGCGCACGCGCACACACGCGCACACGTTCACATACGCACATGAATACATGCATACATGCACACACACGCACACACACACGCGCATACGTGTGCGCGTGTACACATGCACACATGCGCACGTGCATACGTTCATGAATTCACGCGGCATGCATTGGACTCAACTAACATTGCACATGCAAATCTGACCGCATCCTTTTCCAGGCACACACACTTCCGTGCACACTTGCAAGCTATGCGCTTTCATGTGGCTCACCCCGTCACGTGCTCCCCCACACTATTCCATGTGCTGTTGCCACCTGCTCGCTCCCACTCGTCCGTGTGTTTGTGCCGTGCCGTGCGTCCCTCACCCCATCACCCCATCACCCCATCACCCCATCACCCCATCACCCCTCACCACGCCAGGCGCCAGTGAGAAGCGCAGCGACTTTCTGGACGTCGTGAGGAGCAAGTTTCAGCCCGACACGCCCCTCGTCGTGGTGCGCCCATCGCTCTACCTGCTGCCTCTGCACCTCTCTCCCTCTGCACCTCTCTCCCTCTGCACCTCTCTCCCTCTGCACCTCTCTCCCTCTGCACCTCTCTCCCTCTGCACCTCTCTCCCTTTGCACGTGTCTCCGTCTGCTGCTCTCTTTTCATTCTGCTGGCCCCTTCACTCTCTTTCCTCGCATTCACCTTCTGACTGTCAATCCCATCCGCATGTTGGACTATCTCCTCTTATCGAGCCTTGTCTCGCTCGTGTCGTTAGTGTCTCGCCTGTCCCATCATTTTCTGTATTGATAAAAGTAGTGTTTTGAGACGTCTCAAAACGCTACTTTTATCACGTGTCGTTAGTGTCTCGCCTGTCCCATAATTTTCTGTATTGTTTCCGTTCGATTGGCCCTCCTCTCGCCACCTGCTCCTCCTCTCCATCTCGTGGCCGTGCAGTCATGCGGGGCAGGGCGGAGGGCTGCGGTTGCAGCAGCAGACCTGGTGGAAGCGGTAAGGCATGGGATGGGGATGGGGATGGGGATGGGCATGGGCGTGGGCATACGGATGGGGATGGGGATGGGGATGGGGATGGGGATGGGGATGGGGATGGGGATGGGGATGGGGATGGGGATGGGGATGGGGATGGGGATGGGGATGGGGATGGGGATGGGGATGGGGAGGGGGAGGGGGACGGGGACGGGGACGGTGATGGGTGATGGGGAGGGGGAGGGGGACGGGGATGGGGATGGGTGATGGGGAGCGGAAGGGGGAGGGTGAAGGTGAGGGGGGCATGAGGGCCGAGACGGTGTTGTACGCTGTGGGACACGAGTGCTGCTGTTAAAGCAACACATGTGGTGCAGGCCAACACGAGTGGTGCTGTTGAAGAAACACACGTGGTGCAGGCCTGTATTGAGATGGGGGTCCGAATGGCATGGAGCACGGGGCAAGGCCAATGTTGTGTTTGGCTGTATGACATGTGGCGCGGGGGCAATACGTGCGTGAGGAAAGAATGCGCCTAGAATGGTGTGGGAGTGTGGGGAGCGGAGACTCACATTGGATAGCTTCTTGTGACCTCTTTTGATCTTGCGGCTTCTCTAATTGTGCATAGCCTCATGCATACCCTCATGCATAGCCTCATGCACAGGCTCATGTATAGCCTCATGTATAGCCTCGTGCACAGGCTCATGTATAGCCTCGTGCACAGGCTCATGTATAGCCTCGTGCACAGGCTCATGCACAGTCTGCCTTCTGCACTTAGTACCATTCCATCCCATCCCATGATCCCATCCCTCCATGCCAATGCAGGGCTTCATCAAGGTGGTCAGCTTGGAGGGTGACTCTTTTAGGCGCCTCAAATGTAGTCGTCTCGCACTTAGCACCATTTCGTCTCATTCCATGATCTCATCCCTCGATACAAATTTGCAGGGCTTCACAAAGGTGGTCAGCTTGGAAGGTGGACTCAAGGCATGGAAGGGAGAGGGATACCCCCTTGTGGAGTGATGCAGGGCTGTACGAACTACGGTAGTGGTTTTCATAGGGGTTTTGCATCCAATAACGCGATAGAAGCAGCATCAGGGCAGACACCATTTTTTCTATTTTTACAGTCATGATATATTTGTCGAAAATATGGGATGCGAAGAAGTGGGTGCTCGACCTTTAGTGCACCGAGGTGTAAGGATAAGAAATTAAAATGTATGATGTGACAGCTCTGGATGAATGAAGTATCACTCTGTGTCCTTCAGTTTGGCCTACCCCGATGAGGAAAAATAAGTGTTACTTGTGCAATATGCTTATAACGAAAAGGTGATGATTATGCTGTCTTGACGTGACGATGTCATCATGACGAAAGTGTTGCCAAACCCAGCCGGCTCCCCTCGGATTGGCTATATAAGCACGTGTACACTGTACACCAGGTTCCTGGCGTTGGCGAAGCTGATATGGGGGTTTCTCCAGCCCTGGGCAGATATCTGCAGGGTAGTTGTTCCTGCCAATCCTTAACATCCGGGTAGTTTAGGGAGCCCATCCGGCAAATGGGGGGGTAGTTTTTTTTAACACGGCTTAGGCAGGATCCGTGCGTTTTTGGCGCGACTCGATGTCTAGTTCTTGATGTATATCTACATCTCTGCCACACAGCGGTGGTGCAAAGTTGAAGTCAGCGTGCGTTTTCGTGGCAGCGTTAGGAGATGGAAAGAGATGGGGGGGGGGGGGACCTTGCTGCAGCTTGCTGAATGCGTGAAGAGGAGTTCGAGTTCTACCACAAACAAAAAGTCTTTTTAGGGGGTTACACCTAGCCCTCGCCAATTTCACGCCCTGCAACTTGTTTCGGAAAGCACCCTGAACCCGATGTTGGCTTTCCCAATGAACTCCCCGAAATTGAGGACTATA